TCCATGGGCTGATTGAAGGCAGAGAAGGTCCCTTATTCAAGCCCATCCAGCACGGGGCCTGGCCAGAGGGGCCTCAGTTTGTTTGCTGAGCGTTGATGGGCAGAGCAAACCCAGGCAGCAAGGTGGGCTGGGACTTAGGGGAAGGAGCCAACAGCCGGCAGCCGGAGCTGGACTCTCCCTCCACCTAACGCTCATCTGCAAATGAGGCTCAGGCCCAGCCAGCGTTTCACTCCCCGCCAGGCTGGCACGGAGGTTTTGCTAGAGCAGATGATTCAAGACCAATCCGGGGTGTCGTGAGAAGGCTCAAGTGTGGAGAACAGGCAGGGCCTCTTGTCTGTGAGTGCGGGCTCTTGATCCCCACGGACGGACGCACCTCATCCCGTCCACCTCCGTGCCCACCTGGCTCAACTTGAACTGCAAACACAGCCATCAGCCTTCAAGTCACTGCTCCAAAGTCACCTTCTCGATGAGGCTCACCCTGGCAACTGTATTTAAAACCATACCCCCTCCCTCCCTGGCACTCACAGTCCCCTCACCTTGTTTTCACTGCTTCTTTCCTCCCGCATGTGACTTACGTTGTGCTGATTTTTCCACAAGGCAATGGGTTTGTCTGTTTTGTTCACTGAGACATTCCAAGTACGTAGCACGGCACCTGCCACTGAGGTACCTGATGTTAAATGAATGGATAATAATAGTACAAGTGTTCATTGAGTGCTCACTTGCTCCAGATACCTGGCTAAGCCCTTATATGTGTTGTCCAATCCATGTTCACAGGGCCCAGTAAAGGAGGGCCTGTATTTTATATCAGATGAGGAAACTGAGACTCAGTGATCTGCCCAAGGTTGCCCAGCTAGTAAACAGTGGAGCCAGGACAAGAACCCAGGAGGGGGGGGGGGGCAGAAGGGACTCACAGGAAGGACACAGAGGGGCCGAGCTTCAGGGCCACCCTGTCCTGCATTCTCAGTAGCTGGGGTGACCATGTAGCCCTGTGGACATGTGCCTGACATGGGGAGGTACCAGGAAATAGAAATTGGGGGCCAGTCAGAGGGAGATGGCTCCTTTTTCTGCAGGAAAGAGGCCGGTGGGCAGGGAGGGTCCTGGCAAAGCTGTGAGTCTCGGCCCGTTTCAGTGGGTGGTCTGCAGGTGGGTTTTTAAGAAGAGGGCAGGCTGCGGTCAAAGCAAGCCCTCTGTGGTTAGCTGGAGTCTGGGCCAGGTCTCTGAGTGGGTGCCGGTCGCAGGTTGGGTCAGCAGGGACCTTGGGGAGCCGGGAGGCTTTAGTACAGACCAGCAGTGGGAGGTGAGAGAAAGAGAGAGAGGGTGGCTTTTGGAGGCTCCAGTTCTCACCTGGGGCTCACCTGGGGAGAGTGTATGCAGTGGAGCATGGGAGGCTTGGGGGCCAGATGTGTGGTGCAGGCCAGCCAGGGCTTGGGGGCTGGAGCTGGCCTAGGGGTGTCTGTCAGGGACCCTACCTCATTGGGCTGCCCATTGCAGAATCCACACAGGTGACAGACCCTACAAGTGCCCGCATCCTGGCTGTGAAAAGGCTTTCACTCAGCTCTCCAACCTCCAGGTGAGTGGCCACCTGCCTCCCGCCCACCTGGTGCAACAGCTGCCTTCCCAAAAGGGAGCATAGGAAGGGGGTAGGGCTGGGGGCAGCCTGCTGGCCCCTGACTTCCTCCTCTGCTCCTACAGTCTCACCAGCGTCAGCACAACAAGGACAAGCCCTACAAGTGTCCCAACTGCTACCGCGCCTATTCGGACTCCGCCTCCCTGCAGATCCACCTGTCCGCCCACGCCATCAAGCACGCCAAGGCCTACTGCTGCAGCATGTGCGGGCGGGCCTACACCTCGGTGAGTGCCTGGGTGCCCCGAGGCCTCTCTCTCCCTGGGCCTCAGCTTCCTCCACCACCGCCGCCTCCTCAGATAGGTACTGACTCTCCATTTTCCAGACAAGAAAACTGAGGCCCAGAGAGGGGAAGTGGCTCCTTACCATCAGAGTGAGTGGCGGAGCCAGGGCTGCTGCTTCCCTGTTTTCTTTTAGGCCGCCCCAGGCCAAGCTCCGAGCCCCCTGGCAGCCTTTAGGGTTCTGAGGTGTGGCCCGCTCCAGGCCTGGGGAATGCTCCATGCAGTGGAGGAGGGCTCGGTACCCTGCTTTCCAGAGTCAGGGAGCGAGAAAGGCCTTCCTCCTCTGGGGAAGCTGCAGCCCCACTCATGGCCACAAGGTGGCACAATGACTTTGCTCATAGCCACCCTCAGGTCTCAGGAAAGGTCTGAACGGTGCTAGGAAGGTCATTGCATCCAGCCCCGTCCCTGGGTTTGAATTTCTCTAAACAAGGGCCTTTCAGAACTCAGGAGGGGGAGTCCAGGTGCGACACTTGTGTGTGCGCTTCTGCCTAGTCAAATATTCTGGGTAACAGACCCCTGCGTATACCCAGATGGAGATCACTGAGCCTGCTTCCTCATCTGTCAGCGGAGGAGGTGACAGTTCTTAACCCACAGGGCTGCTGGCTGGCAGAGCTGGTGCCTCGGCCACCTTGGCTGACATGTTTACCCACTCAGTGTTTACCGACTTGTGCCAGCACTCAGGAACCAGGATGAACCAGACAGAGAGATTCTTGGCCCCCAGGGAGGTTACAGGCATATTAAACAAGTAATCACGCAAATAAATGTGTAATGGCAAACTGTGGTGATTGCTCCAGGCAGGGTTTCCCAACCTCAGCCCATGTCAGCGTGTGGGCAGGTGCCAGTTCCCCGGGGAGCTGTCCTGGGCATTACAGCACCGTTTTTGATCTCTGCCCACTAGCAGCCCGCTCCAGGCTGTGACAACCAAGATGCTTCCAGACTTTGACAGGTGTCTGGGGGCGGGGGAGCAAAGTCACCCCTGATGGAGAACCACTGCTATAAAGGAAAATGGGTTTTGAAAGACAGTGGCAGGGAGGACACAATGGAGCTGGGAAAGAGAGACGGGGCCCGGTGGGCTGTCTGAGGAAGTGACATTTAGACGAAGGCTTGAAGGACAGTGGGCCAGGTGAGGAAGAGGAGGAGGTGAGAAACATTTTCATGCAAGGGAACAGCAAGGGCAAGCCCCTGAGGTAGAACGAACTCAGTGTCTTGCAGGAACTGAAAGAAAATTAGGCCCCATGGGGGCTGTGGGGCCTGTGAGGGGGTGTGGGAAGCCACTGGGGGGGGTACGGTCTGGGAAGGTATTTCTGAGTGGTCACTGTGGCTGGAGGGGGTGCAAGGACTGCAGGCACGGTTCCCAGCAGAGCACATGTCAGCTGCCAGCCAGGGCTGCAGCTTGCTGAGTGCTGAGTACGTGGCGTTCACCCTTCCCTGGAGCTCAAAAGGCAGAGGAGAGTTGAGAGACCACAAGGACAGAACCTGAAGAGACCGGGGCCCTAAGGATCTATGTGGGGGCCCCAGAAACCGAGGCGCCCCGGTCACCTGACCTTCAGTCATGCCCAGCCCCAAGCTCTTGACCATCCTCCACACCCCCACACTTAGAGGGGCCACGGCGCTCACAGCTGTGGTTCTCAGCTGTGAGCTGTCTGAACCCAGCTGGGATCAGTCTGAACCGGAGGGGGGGCGGTCAAAGCGGGTCAGCACTCGCTGGCCTGAGGCCCCACCCTGAACTGGGCCTGAATGGACTCGATAGAACACGAAGAAGTTACCTTAAAAAAAAATTTGATGCATTGGTTTTTAAACCACTTTAATATGTAAAAGAAACGTTTCAGAACAGTGAACCCTCATGTTCCCCTCAGCCCCCAGAACCATCAACCAATCCTGCTTCATCCCTGTTTCTGTTTTCTGAAGTAAAACCAGCATCATATTGTTTCATCTGAAAGTTTTCACGTAGTGTCTCTAAATGTAAGTCCTCTTTAAAACATATGCACAATACTTTTATAATAACATAAAATAATTCACTTGAAGTCCTTAATGTCATCAAACAACTCGGTCGGCATTCACATTTCATTTGTCCCACGAATGCCATATTTTTATTTACTTAGAATTTTATTAGTTAATCAAGATCTAAATAAGATTTCTGTGCCGCACCAGGTCAGTGCATCTTTTACTGTGGGCACTCCCCACCCTGCCTTTTTTTTCCTATGCAATTTATTCATGAAGAGTAGTTCCGTAGTGTGGATTTTGCTGATTGCTTCCCTCTGATGTCGTTTGATAGCATGTGGCCACCACATTTGAGGGCTTCCTCTGCCGGATTCTGAGCAGATTGAGGCATGAGGCCAAGGAGTGGCAGGTGGGAACCAGAGCACCACCCTGCAGCCTAGTGTGAGGGCCTGTGGGCCTGCAGGTGAGCCTTGGGTCACCTTGCCCACCCGTTCTTGGGTGCCTCAGGTCAGATTGAGCAGAGCTTGTGGGGGGCGCTAAAAGGAACAAGCTGAGCATGCCCAGTTTATGCTTCCAAAGTCACTGATCAGATCAGGCCCCACTTCTCCCCCAGCGAGGATAGAATGTGGGGGTGCAGATGCTGGGGCCCCTCAACTCTTACTGCATACTAAGAGCTTTATCCACATCACCCTAGCAACGCTTCGAGATTGTTTCTGCCCCATTCCTGCTTGCAGAGGAGGAAGCTGAGGCTTGGAGGGGTGAGATGACTTGTCCAGAACTAGGCTCAAACCCAGGCCTGCTGCTCCACCTTCAATCTGGGAGCACCAGCCAGCCAGTAAATGGCAGCTGGCCTGGCCCTACAGAGTTCCAGGTGGGCACGGCTGAGGGGCGATCGTGACCTGCTGGCTCAACAGCCAACATACCATGGGCTCAGACTCTTGTCAGTGAGCCAGCTCCCAGGCCTGCCATGCAGCATCCCTAGAACCCATGCAGATGCCCATCTGTCCCCCACAGCTGTGGCTGCTCACTACTAGCTGGCCCACCTGCCAAGGAGCCCTCCAGTGGCCACTTGGGGGAACTGCAGCCTCTTCTGCCCCCCTTGCCTTCAGTCGGTTTTACGTTCTGAATTTCACCCCCGCCCACAGGAGACCTACCTGATGAAGCACATGTCCAAACACACGGTGGTGGAGCATCTGGTGAGCCATCACTCGCCCCAGAGGACGGAGTCCCCCGGCATCCCGGTGCGAATTTCCCTCATCTGAGCCGACCCAGGCGCCGCCCTGCCCACTGGCAGACACAGACCCAGGCAGCACCAGGCCCCGCCCACTGGCAGACACAGGCCCAGGCAGCACCCGGCCCCGCCCCCCTCCAGGGCCCTCCTGGAACAGCCGAGCTCTCTCATGACCTTCCTGACCTTCCAGAAAGCCCGGGCCGCAGAAGCCCTGCCCGGTCTAGCTCCGGGGGTGGCCAGGCCAACTGCAACATTCTGGACTGTTTGGTGGCATCCAAAGACAATCTCAGAGCACTTTGAACCTCTCTGTTGGCTTTTCTTTTTCTCCCCCACCCTTCACTTGCTTCACTGTTTTATTTTTTTTTTAGTTTGTTTTGGAAATAACAAAAAAGATATTTATTGGCCAAGAAGTTGGTGCTGCTAAGACCGAGAAGTGAAAAGAGTCGGACAGATGGACACAGAGAACCAGAGGGCAGCGTGGGAACTTCTCTTGCCATGGCCTTAGGTCTGGAGGGAAGGCTCGGGCCTGGGTTTCTGGACTGCAAAGGGGGCCCCTGGTGGGAGGGGCAGGAGGCAGCTAGCGTGAGCCACTCGCCCTGGGTGCCCAGCTGGAGCCCTGAGCGGCATGCACCCTGGGCAACACTGACCAGAGGGAGGCAGCAGCCACCCAGGCTTCAGGAGGCGAAACGAGAGAGGGGCCGCCCGGAGATCCGAAGGACCAAAGGGTGCAGCGTTGGGCTGGGCTGGGCGCCAGCCCAGGGAAGCGGGGTGGGGGCGGGCTGGGTGAGACCTGGCCCCCCGCTGCCCTTCAGACCACCCCAGTCTACCTCGGTGCTGGCCAGGAAACCTATTGCCTACCTCTCCTGCCGTCCCAGACTGTGGGCCGGGGGATGGGGAGGGAGTGGGTCTGGGCCTAGGACCCCCTCCATAATTTCCTCCAGATGGGGCACTTCCCAGGGAGGGGTTACTTGTCTTCCCTGCCATGGAGGGGGAACCCCCAGCCCAGGCCCTAGGCCCCTGGGCAGGGAAGGGATCCTCAGAAAGGAGGGTCCCCAGGAGCAGCCCCTGCCCTCAGCCCCCACAGACACACCCCAATCTGAAAGCCATGCGTGTCCGTGTATATAGGAACTATGTACAGAGCCCGGAGAAGCCCCCTCCCTCCCCCGGGGAAAAAAAAAAGAAAACTAGACAGAAACTCATCTATATATTCTGTATCTGGAGTTCCGTTTTGAATATTAACTGTGTTATTTTTATACACTTTTTAAGCCTTAACTCACCATTGATTTACCAGTTTTAACGTTTCCTGGGGTTTCTTTTCCCACGGGGTTCTCTGCCCCCACCCCCACCCCTTTGTTTGACTTGCGTCGTCTGATACTCAGTATTGTAGCTTTTGTCCGCATGTTACTACCCTGTAAATACGCTGTTATACATACTGTTAACACCCTTTGCTTTTTCTGCGGGACCTCCAGGCCACCGTACTTAGGACTAGTTACCTTATTAAAAAAGAGAAAACAGTCTGTTGGCTTCTCAGTCTGCATCTTGGTGGCAGGGAGGTGAGTGCAGGCGCCCCTCAACGCTTCAGGAAAGAGGTTTGCATTATATTTAAGAAAAGGGGTGGGGAGTAAAAACAAATCAAACGTGGGGGAAAACACTAAAGGGGGCAAGACACAAAGGAATTCTGAACCCTCTGCTCTTTGTATTTCTCTGTTGTGAAGAATAAACTGTACCTGCACCCGGGTGGCGGTGGTGTGTGGTGTGCTCTGTGCGAGGGTGGGGTTGGGGGGCGCCTTGCCACTGCTCCTCTCCCCTCCCCCGCCCCCAGGCTCAGGCAGGAAGGGAAAGGGCAGCTCATTGTGGGCTGGCCTCAGTCCAGCTGCCCAGCCGAGTGCCTGGTGCCCTCCTGCCCCCTACGAAGTGGGCAGCAAACCAAGAGAGGTATTTCGCTGAAGATCATGCTACAGTTAAGGGACATAAATTTAGCCCAGGTCTGCCTGATTTGGAAGCCTTTTTAGACACGTGGGTTCCACCAGTGAGGGTCGCTGCCCCCTCTCCCAGAAGGGCAGCTGCGTCCCGTTGCCCCGCCCCTCTTTGGGGGACCATCCTGGATGCCCTCATTTGCAGAAGCTATTCCTGTGATTGAGGGACCAAGAAGTCCCCTTCACATGTGTTTGCCCTGCGGAGGTCAATATTCTGATTTCTTAGGAGAGAGACGCAAGAATTAATTCGCTCAAAGTTTATCAAGGCTGGCCCTGTGCTAGACATTATGGGAGAGGTAGCAGTGACTCAGCCGTGAGTCACTACGGGCTCACCATCAGGAACTTACTCCTCCCAGCCCTGGCAGTCCTTGCGTGTGAGACTTGTGGCTGCAAGGTGTAGAAAGCCCAATGCAAATGAGGATTTATTGCCTAAATGACATTGCAGGATCCGGTCAGCTTCAGGGCTCAATGACTTGCATCTCCACTTGGCTTTGTCCCCAGTCGCCGTACCCTCCGGCTTCTGTGGGGTCGGCAGCTCCAGCCTCACAGCCCCCAGTTTCCCAGCAGTCAAGCCTCTGTCTCTCCCAGAAGTCCCAGCAAAAGCCCACTTGGGTCTTCCTGGTTTGCACGGGGTTAGATACCATCCCTGAAGCTGTCACTGTGACCAGAATGTCCTTGATTGGCTTGGGCCTAGCGCCTGTGCCCTGCGCCTGGAGCAGAGCATGAAACCCGCACCCGTCGTCAGAAGGGGCCACGGATGAGCAGCCAAGAACATGTTTGAAGTACTCGCACCTTTCTCACAGGACTCACCTTTCTCTTTGAAACTGACCTCCCACAGCCTGTGTGGTGAAGGGGTGGGCTCTGGCCATCTTCTGTCACATGACTCTACCCCGGCACAGCTGATGGGCCAGGGGCAGCCACCTGACTCAGCACCTTGATTCCTAGACCAGTGGTCCCGGTGGTGCCCATGGTGCCCGTGGTGTGTACAGTTAAGTCCTCATTTAACATCATGATAGGTTCTGTGACTAAGTGAAACAACATATAACAAAACTAATTTTACTAGAGACTAATTGATAGAAAAACAAATTTAGTTCATAACTGCGTTCTCATCAGCATTACATGGAAGTGACATGGACCGAAACATTGTTTAAAGATCTGCTGTGCTGGCTGTGCTGGCCCAGAGCGTGGGCTGTGCGCACCTCTTCCGGACTCTGCGTTCAGCGAGAGCCGGAAATCCACCACGGCGAGATTTACATGCTGGTGTAAATCCCTGCAGATCGGGGCTTGCTTTTTCCTCACAGAGCCACAGATGCTAAACATTTACCAGCACACCACTGGCTGACTCTTCAATCAGAGCCTCCATTCCCTGAGTTAAGAGCGAGTTAGGAGACGGTGGGCACCTGCACGGGCAAACCCTGTGGACGAGGGGTCGGGTGGCTGTGTGGGGCCGGGCACAGGCGGGAGGCCGCAGCAGGCAGAAGGCGACAGTGATGGCCGGAGGACACCAAGAGCCAGTGGCACCTCAGCTCCCAGCTTTCAGTCTCTACCTTCTGGCCAGGTTTCACTTCCTGCTTGTTCTCACATCAGTGAATCCAGTTGCTAGTGGTGTAACCTTGGGCAGGTACTTAATCCTTCTGTGCTGATTTTTTTCTCATACTTAAAATGAGGGATATAATAGTCACCAGTTTATAGGGAGGATGTGAGGATTAAATGAATCGATACATGTCTAATGCTTAAAACTGTGCTGAGAACTTAGTAAGTACCCAGTAAACGCAGCTGTGGCTCCATGAACCTGCTGGAGAAGGGGCGGCCTGGGAGAGGGAGAGGGAAGGTTGTTTCCCGGAGCACCACAACCCTTGCAGGCGGGGCGCCTGGCATCCCCATTCATGTGTGAGGAAATAGACCCCGCAAAGGTAAGGAATCTGCCCACAGGCACACACAGTTAGAAGGGCAGCCAATTCCCATCCAGGTCTCACCTGCGCATGCTCAGGTCTCCAGTGCCCCAGGGTCGTGTGTGTGACCCTTAGTGGACGTCCTTAGGGTAACATGGGGGCATGGACCCAGGGGAAGGGAGGTGCCAGATCACAGTCGCCACGCAGTGACCTGTTCTTGGGCACACTTGGCTTGTTCTCGTCTCCAATCCAGTGGTCAAAAGGCCTTCTGGGTTTTGCTTCTCTAGTTTAAGTAGGAGGCACTAGGGAAACTTGCAGTGATGTTGGGGGGGGGGGGGGGTAGATGTTATTTCACATTATTGGAACTTGCTTGTAAAAATGACTAGACTGTAAACATCGTCAGGACTGGTTTCCAGCCAGCACTGCTATCCTACCTGGGGAGAGTGGAGGCTGTAAAAATGCAAGTCTGTGAGAATAGTACGTAAAGGACTCAGGAGACCTGGCGTGAGACCCTCCCCTCCCCTGGTCTTGGTGTTCCCAAGTGTCAGACAGGGGCTTGGGGGCTCCCAGCTGCTACCTTCCCTGTCTCCTTGGCTCTGTGACCACCTTTCCTGGAGGACCTGATGACTTCATGCTCCTATTGGGAGCCTGCATTTTCACTTGTTGAGGATGAGGAGTCTGGCCAGGAGCTACCTGGCCAGGATGAGAAAAGTTCTCTCCTAGATACTGTGGCCAAACAGACCTATGAACCCCAGCAGAAAAGCGGAAATGCTGCTTTTGTGGACTTTGACCCTCCAGAGAAAAGGGCCACAAGGACATGTTTGAAATAATTTTATTATAATGCCAACAGAACTCCCGGTCTATAGAAAAGTCTTACAAGGGTTTATTTGAGCCAAATTTTAAAGACATGCCTGGAAGCAAAATCTCAGAAGATTGAGGAACTACTCTGAAGAAAGGCAGTTTTTCGGTTCCTTTTACACATTTAGAATCAAAGGGAAAAAATGTAAGGAGGGTGCATGCAGTCCATTGGTGGAAGATTAGGGAGGTGGGAGAAAGCAAGGTGGGGAAATCCCCAGGACCGGATAAAAAGCAAAGTGGGGAACACAGAATTTCACATCGGGGGGCACAGGACAGTTAGTAATGAACACGGATAGCACAGGGAGGTGGTGTGCGGGGAACGAGATGACACAGGGCTTCTGGTGGGGCCTGTGCTCGGTGCACGCGGGTGTGCCTTTGAGGGGAACAGAAACGAAACGTGCTCGACATCCCAAAGGTAGGTATCCTAGATGCGGAAGAGCAGTGGACAGGGCTCACGGGAGGTCAAGACTGACTTTGCTAAAGAAGCCATAGGCCTGGGATGGGACTACCCACCAGGGACTGCCGGCTAGGAATTTACGTGGTTGCTCAGCTTGTCCGGCCTGCCATGGGCCCCGCTGCTTATTGCACAGCCCCTTTCCATCCACAATAATACAACTTAAATATGTTCAAGCTATGCTTGAGGGCGGGGGAGGTGAAAGTCAAAGCCAAGGGGCTGGACGCCACAAGTGTTGCTCCCTCTGTGGCTCATGCCTCCTGGCAGTTTTATTTGGTCTGAGCAGCTGACCTCACATGTCGATTCTGTGGCTTCAGGCAGTTACGTTCCCTTTTTGTGCCTCAGTCTCCTCCTGAAAAGGGGGAGGGTGCGACTGCTAAACCGTCTCCTCAGGAGGCATCCCCTGAAGTCAGGAGGGTCAGAGGAGAATGGTCTATATGCATCAGCCCCCGTGGAAAATGAGGAAAAGGAGATCTTACAAGTGAGAAGCTCCCTGCCTGAGAGGTTTTTTTTTCCTTTTTGTAGTGCCTGATTTAAGCTTCGATTGCCCACAAATTCACTCCAATAAATACATTGCCAGTCTCCCTACCACAGAGAATCAGGCCACCCGCCACTGAGGATCTTTTGTTTTAGAGATCTTGGTTGATTACAGTAACTAGCCACCTTTGGCCACCTGTTTTTTTCTCTTCCTGAGCTTTACATTTCTGCTCTCATATTTTGAATTCACCAAAAGAGTCCACGAAACCCTGAACCCTACCTTGGATCCCAATAAAAGCAGAACCCCAGGCCCACCCTCTCTCTCCACCGAGACCTTGCCGCGTGGCCCCAGGTGTGCTGTATAATTTCTGGGTCCCGTAAGTAATGAATCTTTATTCTCTTCAGTGTCCTGATGGTTTTTGCTGAAGGGCATCTTGCAATCACGAAAGAACAGCATGCGCAGGTCCATCCACTACCTTGCTCAGAGGCTGGGACCAGCACAAAACTCTCCAAGGCTAGGGCGGCCTCCTCTCACATGCAAGAGGTGGCGGAGCTGTTTTCGTCCCGTCTCTCCTTGTCCTCCAGAGTGCCATACTGCTTCCAGAAGGATCCCCGACGGCTTCAGGGTCTCTCCTTGCTGCTTGGCCCACTCCACATCCTCCCAGGGCCCAAGGTGTCCGTCCCACAGGTGGGGCGAGGCTTGGCCCTGGCTCCTAGTCGCGAACCAGATCGTACTCCTTGGGCGCCCAGAGCAGGCGTGGGTGGCGGATCTCGGCCCGCCGGCCTATCTCCAGGCTCCAGCAGAACTCGGGCGACAGCACCTTGGCGGGCTTGTACAGCCAGAAGTACTTGTTGAGGTGGCTCTCGTCGTGCCAGCGCGCCTCCAGGCCGCGCACGCGGTCCTGCTCCTGGGCCCGCGCGCAGTGCGCCGTCAGCCCGCGCACCGCCTCCACTGTGCCCCCAAAGAGGGCGCCGTGGTAGTAGAAGTCGCCCTCGCCCGACGCCAGTGCCGCGGCCGAGCGCGCGTCGCGCTCGTAGGGCAGCATTGGCCGCGGCCAGTGGTAGTGCCAGGCGTGCAGCTGCGCCACCGAGTCGGCCAGCGCCTCGGGCCCGAAGGCGCCGCTGAAGTACTGGTCCACGTCCATGCAGAACACGAAGTCCGCCTCGCGGCCCAGCCGGCCGCCCAGCGCCGCGTGCAGCGTGCGCATGCGCTCCATCGACACGTCCTGCCAGCGCCGCTCGCGGGACACGCGCTCCACGCGCAGCTGGCGGCCCGGGCCCAGCGGCAGGCGAGGCACGGCGGCTGGGCGCTCAGTGAACACGTAGTAGACCACACGCTGGCCCACCATGAAGTGCCGCTCGGCTGTCTCCAGGAAGCGCGCCAGGTACTTCTCCAGGTACCTGCGGGGCGGGGCGGCCTGGGAGTCACCCTGTCCGCGCCTAGGGCCCAGGGACCTCCCTCCTCAGCCACTCGCTCCTTCTGGTCTCCCCTTCCCGACTCAGACTTCCTGCCCCTCCTCATTCAGGCCCGCGGTTCTCCTAATCCTGCAACCCTGCAACCTCCGGTCCGGTCCCTGGAGGTCTTGAAAACCCCAATCCCAGAATCATGCAAGCAGAATAAAGATGATTGCACACTGTTTGCCACCCCTGCCCTCAGGGGCCCTGTCTTCCCTCCCTTGAACTCAAGTTCTCCCAAGGAAGTGGTGCTGTGCTGGCCTTGGAAGGGCTGGCAGCGTTAGCCTGTCTAGAGCTCTGGGCCTTTGCTTATGTAAGTCCCAGAATTTGGTTGTGGCAGGGATGTGAGGAAGCCCAAACTAGCCATGCAGAGAGGCTGTGTGGGGAGAGGCGCTCCACCAGCCTTTAGCCGTGGGCTATGCCCGTGGAGACCCAGACAGTGGGGAGCAGTGAGGAGCACTTCTGTGGAGCCCTGTTAGAATTCCTGGTGCACAAAATCATGAGCTGTGAGGCTAATATATTGTTGCTTTGAGTCCCTGAGGTTGGGGTAATTCCTTACATAGACAACCAGGAAGTTCGTACTGTCAGAAACTTTGTAACAGACTTTGGGGTCCTCTGAAAGAAGAGTGATGATGCCTGATATCTCTGAACATGCATCTGGCATGTGGCAGACAGTGTTTGAAGTCAGTGTGCATTATTGCATTTAATCCTCACCATTTGCTATTATCTCTATTTTCTCAGGTGAGGAAATAGCAATGAAGAGCTGTAGTAACTGGGGAGCTGCTGCAAGCATACACACAACTGGTGAGTCACAGAGCTTTGCTCTGAACTCAGACTGGCGCTGGAGCTTGAACCTTCGCCTGTGCTTGTTCCGTTCCTGGTAGATGTGTGAGGGATTGGAATCAGAGACCTTGGAAGCCTCAGCATCCCAGGGTGTTATACTCACAAAATCTGAGAATTCAGGATCTCAGGGCCCTGGAATTTCTGGATGACCCCTAGGGCTGGTGCAGAACACCCAACTTAGGATCCAGAGCAGAAGTGGGGGCACCAAGGCTCTGGGAGAGGCCAGCAGTGCTGCCCGCCTGGCCTGTGAGTCAGCCCTTGGTCCTGTTGGCCCCCCTGCCCTGCAGGGGCCCTCCTGGCTTTCTGTCCCTTCTGGAGTGTGGGGGTAGGAGCTGAAGGAACTCTGGGGTGTTCCGAGGACAGAATTCCTTCCCCACAATTTCATTATTTCTTCCTGGATGCAAAGCTCTGTATTCCCAAAGCAGTCTGTTCCATTGCTACAGACTTTTCCTTTAACTGCCCTGAACTCTACCTCTGTGCGCCATGCTTAGGGCCACAGGATCTGATTGCCACTCTCAGCCAGGAGTCCCCTTTGCCTCTGGAAAGTGGACATCTGGCTCGGACAGCCATGCTATCCCCAATGGGGATGACAGCGCCCCTGGGATTTCTCTCCACCTACCTCTCCAGCTCCTTTTCCATATCTGGTCCTCAATCGGCCTCCTCTCCTACAGTGACTCTGTCCTCTACCCACCTTGGTCACCTGCCCCCTTGTCTGCTTCCTCAGCCTGGTCACCATCAGTCTGCCCCACTCTCTGAGCCATCCCCCTTCCAGCCACTTCCGGCGATGCCCTCCCCAGCAGTCCTGCCCCGCTGAGCGCTCAGGTCTGGATCCCTTTCTCAGCGTCCCCTCCTGTCTTCATCTCCTGCCCAGTTCAGATTCACTGCCGTGCAGAAACCCTCAGCTCCCAGCCCCCTTTCCTTCATCAGGCTTGTTGGCAAGCCTCCCTGCTCCCCTTACTTCGTGCCCGCACCTAGCCGCTGACCTCCAGCGGGCACTCACCGCAGGCAGGCCCTTTCCTCTATTCACCCAATTGCCCCCTCGTCTCACCATCCTCACCTGACAGACACCATCATCTTCTCACCACAGACCTGATGCTTCCAGTTGGACCACCAGCCCCTGGGCAGGGTTTTTCTAGGACATGGATCTGAGCCCCTGGCTGCCTTTGCTGGGGATGGAGGTGCTCCACAGTGTTGGTGTCCAGGAAGGACAGAAAGGAGAAGGGTGGTCCTGCCCTCACCCTGGGACCAGGGTGCTGTCTTTGCCTCCCGAATCACCATGGGATCCTTTGGCACAGGGAACAGGGTGCCACACCACCTGTACCACATGTACACCCTCCCATGCCCTGCGGGGACAGCACTGCCACCCTCCCCAGGCCTTACCTGCCTACGGCAAAGACAGTCAGCCCGATGGTGAGGTTCTGCTGTATAGCCTCTTGCTGGGCCGTGTCTGGATCGAAAGTGCCATCCCAAATAATGGGGGCCCCCCAGGAGGTACAGGTCAGGACTTCCGGCCGGGCCCTGGCCAGGGCAGGGATGAGAGACAGGTCCATCCGTCCACCCACCTGGTGATGCTCACTGCCATCTCCCCATGCTGGGCCCTAGGGACCCCCAGGTGGGGCATACCCCGTCCCTAGCCCAGAACTAGCACACAGGGTGGAGAATATGTGACCTGCTGGGCCGCTGGGTGGACCACCCGGCCCTGCCAGGGTGGGGGCTGTGAGGAGGGCAGTGACTCTAGGGCACATACTGTAGGGGGTATGGGTGACCCCTCCCCTTGGAGTGGGAGGGACAGTATCTCCTTACCAGAGACGCAGGAGACCCGAGAAGTTGTCCCTCAGCAGGGACATTCTGGACAAAGGGCAGGTGCCCATGGGGATGAAGGTTTCCAGATACCTGTTGGGCAGGGGCAGTGGTGAGGGGCATGGCAGCCTGCTCAGGAGCCCTGTCGCTCTGCTCCTCACACGGAGGGAGGGCCCACGGGACACCTGCGGGCTGGGATAGCCACCACCCTCCATCCCTCAGGGAGGCACTTGGAAAGATTCCCTTTAATCCTGCCCCCATGGGCCCACCTGGAGTGCTGGGGGAGGGGCTGTACCTGACTGCAGGGAGCCCGTACAGGAGCAGCCCTGAGAAGCCAACTGCAAGTAGGATCAGCCGCCAGAAGATTCTCTTCCAGGCCCTGGGGGGTGGGGAGGGGCATCACAACATACTCTTTATACCTATGCTTATATTTATATACACACAGATATCTACATGCACATATGAGAAATCATTTGTGCAACTTAATGTTTCATTTTATTTTTTTGCAACCGAATATATTATCTTCATGTGGTGCAGGCGTTCGGAGACACAGGGTACGTGCAGGGTAGCACCCTTCCTGTTCCCAGACACCCAGCCACTCTGAGTGGAGGCAGCCGGTGTCGCCAGCCTCCTGTGTGTCCTCCCAGACAGTCTGTGCACCGACAGGCGGTGTGGCAAACATGGCAGCGGATGCTCTCCCCCACCCCCCTCACCCCTTTCTTTCTCTCTTCTTGCCCTGTGATGGTCTTCGCCTCCTGCTCCCCCCTCCCCGATGGCAGCACAGTGAACATGCCATTTTGCACCTTGCATTGTCCACTGACTGTTACGTCTTCGAGGTTATTCCATCTGAGTACTTAAAGCGCATCCTTACCCTTTTTCCCAGTGATTGGCAGTAGCATAGTTTACCTGACCAGGTCCCTTCTGATGAGCATTTAGATGCATATCCTTTGCTTTTCCCAGTAGTGCTGGGGTGCATGGCCCCAGGCAGGTTTGGGGTCGGTAACATCAGGTGTGGGGTGCTCACGTGGGGAAGGGGCTGGGGCTGACTTGGCTGCGGGGGAGTCTGGGAGGGGTGGCAGGGCAGTCTGTGGCTTGGTGGCTGGAAGGCGACAGCTGTCTGGGACCTAAGGATGAATTGCTGGGCCGCATGGAGGGCAGCTGTGGTCAGGGACCATGTGTCTGTCTGTCACGGCTCTGGTCACCGGGCTGGGTTCCTCCAGCAGAGCTCAGCTGCCCCATTCCTGGCTCAGGGGAGGTGGACTCTGGGATTGGTCGATGGCTGGTCGGTATCCAGGAAGAGCCCCCAAAGTTGAGAATCTTAATAAGTTCCTTCTGAGGGTCTCATCCAGCGCTCCCCACCCCTGCTGTGCACCCTGTCTCTGGAGAGGCTGGGCCCGTGTGGTGAGAAGCACAGACACTGGGGCCAGGACCTTGGCTTCGAATCCCAGTTCCCCCACTTATCTGGGCACAGGCCAGGTTTTGGGCATCTGCCCTTTGGTCTCCTCATCTGTAACATGCAGATGTCAAGAACACCTGCCTCAGAGGACTGTCGTGGTTACTGAGTTATTATGGGCTGAGTGAGGCGAACAAGGCCACACACATAGAAATAGCTCAGTAAACTACTATCATCCCTGAACAGAGAGTCAGTGATAATAATATTATTACTCCCTCCCCGCCCCTCCTGTCCCTCCGGCCTCCACAGGGACCCGGCCTGCTTGTCCCTCACCAGGACCATTCCATGCTCCTACTCACCCCCTACAAAGCTCCCCAGGACCTCTCATAAAATGCCAGCCTGCCTCAGCAGTTTCCATGTCCCACGACCAGGCAAATCCTCAAAGAAGAAATGCATTTAGTGGTCACACGTGGAAAAACTTCCACCCTCCCTAGTAATCAAAGACATACAAATTAGAACAAGGTGGCATGTTTTGCCTGTAAAATGAGCACATTTTAACAAGGAGTGGAACTGGCCACACTGCAGGAGTGCAGTGAGGCAGGTGCTCTCACACCAGCCAGTGGGGTGCAGCGTGCCGCCGCAGTTCTTTGGAAAGCTGCCCAGCTATGGGAATCACAGCTCTCAGTCTCCCTCCCCTTTAATGCAACGACTTCCACTTTTGTGCAGAGGAGAGCGTCTTCCTCTGCTTCTGTGCAGAGGAGAGCGTCTTCAGTGTGGAAAAGGCTTATGCGTCCAGGCATTCACCCGTTTCTGTTCACTCATGCACTCAACCACATGCATGGGCTACGAGCTCAGAATCAAGCGCTGTGCTAGGTCCAGGTTTCCAGAGTCAGACATGGGCCTGTCTTCAGGGAGTGGCCTGAGGAAGGTGGGTGGCCGTGAGGGGAGGGAATGGGTCAGTTATCAGCAGCAGACAGGTGAGTGAAAGGAACACTGCGCAACAAAGGCTGTGATTGATGCAAATACGAGATGCTATGAGGGCAAATTGGAGAGTGGCACCTGCGCCCTGGCAGGTGGGAAGTCAGGGAAGCTTCCTGGAGGAGGTGACCTCTAAGCTAGGGCCTGAGGAATTAGAAGGGATCCAAGCAAAGAAGGTAGGGAAGGGGGAAGGGAGGTCCATGAAAAGGAAACAAGAGTGTGAAAAGTGACCAAACATCTTCCGTGAGGGCCCCCCCCATCAGACTTCCCGCGGGGAAGGGGGTTAGGGGCCTAACCACGACTGGGGGCTGGGGGGGGGGCCCTGATGGGCTGATCTGGGCCTCACTGGTGCAGCAACAGAAGACACCTGGGGGCATCGGTGCCCCCCACCCCCGATCTCTCCACTGGGATATCTCACAGGCATCTCAGACTTAGCCAGAGAGGGACTCTGGGTTTTCCTCAGAAACCTGCTCCCCACTCGGGTCTCCTGCATCCTGGGAAGGGCCAGTGCAGCGATGTGCCCCCTTTCTCACACCGAAGGCCCGGGAGCCTTGATTCCTCCCATCTCTCACACCCCACGTGCAGTCCACCGGCGAGCCCTGGCGGCCCCGGCCCGTCCGCGTGCCCTCCCCCTCTCACTGCGTTGCAGGCCACTGTCTGGATGCCCTTCGTAGCACCCCTTCCACCCTCCCTGCTTCTGCTCTCGCCCACCCCCCCACGCTCCGTTCTCCAGTGACGTCTCACTGCTCTTAGGGGGAGAGCCGGGGCCTGGGCTGTGACGCTGTGTGCATCTGGCTCCTGCCGTCTCTCTCGTGCTCCCCGCTGTGCTCCCGGCTGTGCTCCAGCCCCAGCCTCCTCGCTCACCTCGGCACGGCTGGCCCTTCTTGTCATTTGGAACTCAGCTGGGACTCTCTGGGCACCCTTTCTCGCCCCTGGGCTTCTCTCCGCCAGTGACTCCGAAGCCTTTGTGTCCGGCGCAGCCCCTTGCTGAGCACCAGACTCGGGTATCGGGCATCGTGTGTCCTGCAGTGCTGTGGGTGTCCCGCAGGCACCTCAGACTCAGGGCTTCTCACGCTGCATTTCTCATTTCCCCTGATCTCTTCTTCCTTCTGCAGTCTCCATCACGGTCTCCTGTTACTCAAGTGGGACCCGTTCCCCCTCCCCCTACAGCGAGTCATTCAGTCACAAGCTCCATTGCGTTCGCCTCCCCCATACAGCCCGAAGCTCCCTCCTGTCCACGCCACGGAGCTCCTCCTGCCTCGTCGTTTCTCACCCAGACAGATTCCTGCAACTGCCCTCCTGGTCTGCACCCTGTGACGCGTCCTGGACTTGCTTGGACTTGGTGGCCTCTCACCTCCACCTCTTTGCCCAGATTGCTCTTTTCCTGTCGGCCACCACGGAGCTCCCGGTCATTCCCCAGTCAATACCCAGCTTCCCCCTTCGGACTCCTTCCCTGACCTTCCCGGCCAGCACCTGCTCTCCCCGGAGCCCCTCCCGTGCACACCCCCACTCCAGCACCTGCCAGGCTGGACCGTGACTGGCTGCCCCGCTAGGCCGTGTGTTTTCTGTTTTATGAGACTTTGGATTCTCGGTGCCAAATCTGCAGCCTGCCTCGCGGTTGGCGGTATTAATGATGATTTGTTCGGTAAAGTAGTGAGGTGATCAGTGGGTCCCTTGTCTTCATTCCTTCCTCAACTGACACTTTCGCCTTTGCACTGAAAACTCCACGTTCTTGGCCGAGAGTTTTACGTCCCTGTCTCATAGAAGTCTGGCCACGACCCCTTGAAGAAGATGCTGTGGTCACCTCCACCTTATGAAGGAGGCTCAGGACCTGTGGCTCACAAGGGTTAATCAGTTGCTCAGGGTCACACAGCTACCGTATTTCGCTGTGTAATGCACACCCACGGTTTTGTGCGCGTTACACATGGGATTATTATACCTGAGATATGTAACCATTATACCCATGCATAATGTGCATCCTTATTTTCCCTTCAAAAATTCAGGCACAACAATGCACATTATACATGACAAAATATGGTATTACGGGTTGGAGCTGAGGGTTGAACTTAGAGCCAACTCCCAAGCCAGAGTGTGGCATCTGGGGCTCCTGATGACCTCGCCTCAGCTCAGCCAGGAGGCTCGTCTTCCAAGGGTCCTGTCATCATCCCCCACAGGCTTGGCCCCTCCCAAGGCTCCACATGTTCTTTGCAAGTCAGTGTCTGTCTTGCAAAAGCCTCTCTCTCCTCCCTCTCCAGCTCCATGCTGGGCTCCTGGGGGGCTGGCCGCACCGGGGCCTCTCCGGCTCCCTCCCAGAAGCTCGACTGCCTGGGAGGGAAGTCCGTCTGTGCTGCCAGGCAGGACAAGGGTGGAGCGGACTTCTCCCTGCTCTCAACTGCCGTCAGGACCCTGCCAACCAGGGTTGGACAGGCCGATGCTTATCTTGGGCGCTGGGCCTGCAGCAGGGCAGCCAGGCAGAGCTGGCCCCAGTGGCTCACACTGTCAGGTCGGGGAGGGCTTTGAGACCCACGCCTGCAGCAGGCACCGGCCAGTTCCTGCCGCCCTTTCCAGGCCCCGGCCTCGCAGCCCTTAGTGCCTAAGGCCCCTGCCCGATCCATCCCTCCATGTTCTTTTCTCAGGTATTTTCGGAAGGACTCCCCTCCACCCCCTTGCCCTGTTCCCTACACTCCCCTGAAGCCCACCCCGTGCCCTGTTCCCTCCTTCCTTTCAAGAAGGGATTGAAGGTCGGTCACTAGTTTTTAAATGGGAACAAATTTCCAATCCTGGACAGTCACTCCCAGGGGAATATAGAGACCTCTCAGTTATGATGGGGGGCGGGGTGCAGCCCCGAGGTCTTGGCTCGTCAAGGGGCTCAGAGCTAAAGGAACAAGATGATTTACCGAGCACCCAGCAGGCTGCATGTCTCCCAGATCTCCCCGCCACCCCTGCCCTTCGGCCATGTTGCTTCTCAGAGTCACCTTCTCCTGGGACCACCTTGATGACCCCGCCCCAGCTTCCCTACCGCGCCAGCAGTGCCTCCACCCACCTGAGTCCCTCTTTGAGAACCATGTCGAGGAGCCGGTGGGACAGCCTTCCAAGAACCCTCTCAGCTCGGAGCTGGGAAACAAATAACCTGTTCCTGGTGACTGGGACAAAGCAGTCACAGGCCACCTGGAACCACACCCACGGGAGCCAGCAGGGATGGCCTGCCTGTAGTGGGACTTGCCTAGGAGCGGCACCTGCTGGAGAAAGCTGGCCCCAGGGTGGGGTGGGGGTTGGGAACCCCTTTGGGGCAATCCCTGGAAGAGAGTGGACCTGAGCGAAGCCGGCTCTGACTGGCAGAAGCTCGTGGCCGTTTTGCACCGACTCCTCTTCCCTTCTGGTCTGGCCAGGGCGAGGCCTACAGGTCAGGCTGCCGAGGGAACCCCATTCCCACAGAGCTCCGGATGGGCCCCAGGGCGCCAGCTGTGATCTCGGACAGTTCACCCCGGGGAGTCCTTAACCCCCGTCAGGAAAACAGGGCGCAGCCACCCAGACAAGTGTCAGAGCCGCACCAGCGTGGTACGGGGTCGGTCTGGAAAGGGGGCACTGGGCAGGGTTCTCTAAATGGAGGTTGTGATCTACCCGGGGGTCGAGGGGCGTGTAATCAGTTTCATGGACCGTGACCAAGATTTAGAAAGGAAGAACAGGAAGAGGATAGAAAAGGGAGTATCAGAATACATTGTACATAAAGGTAGGCATTGTTTTGTGAAATTTCAGTTACACAGATTGAAGTATGTATGTGAGGGTTGGAAACATTGTTAAACTCTGGATCATGATCAAAAAAAGGCTTGAAAAATTCTGTGTGACGTGTAAACAGGAGCAAAAATCTATTTATGGATGCACCCTTCAAACTTACGGCAGCTTGGGGCCTTTCCCCCAAAGTAAGGAAATAGTGCCAGTGTTTACCCCTTTAAGTCAGTTCCTCAGATGCGCCATGTCCTCCTTTAGGAGTCTCGGTTCCCTCCTGCTCCACCCTCCGCATACACACAACCTCAGGTGGGGCCTGGCTGTCCTCGTCCGTGGGAAGGGGAAAGCCAAGGTCCAGAGTGCACCCTGGGCGCCCTCTGCACTTGGCCCCCTGCAGGTGCCTTACGCTCTCCCCCTTCACCTTCAGCCCAGGGCCTGCGGCGTGGGTCCCCCGTCCCCTGGAACAACCACACCTTCCAGTGCTGGCTCCATCCCCCTGGGTCATCAGCTGCAGGCACACCTGGAGGATACAGTGGGTTTGGTGGCAGGTTTGGGGACAGACCACTGCAGTAAAGCGAGTATCTCATGAAAGCGAGTCACATGCGTTTTTTGGTTTCCCGGTGTATAGAAGTCATGTTAACACTACACTGTAGCCTAGCGAGTGTGCAACAGCATTGTGTCTAAAATAAAATACTTTAGTTTGAAAATATTGCTAAAAACGCTGTCATCTGAGCCTTCAGTGAGTGGTGATCTTTCTGCTGGTAGAGGGTCCGGCCACAAGTGGACGGCTGCCGGCTGACCAGGGTGGGGGCTTCTTAAAATAAGACAATGAAGTCTAACCCATTGGCCGGCTCTTCTCTTCACAAGCAGTTTCTCTCCAGCAGGGAAGGCCGTCGGGGGGTAGCATTTGAAACCCACAGGACAACTTTCCACTCAGTTTATGTCATATTCTAAACCCTTTGTTGTCATATCAACAACTTTCCTGGCACCTGCCCCAGGAGTGGACACAGAGACTGCAAGTGAGCAAATGCTGTTGGAAAAATGCTTGCTGGAGGCAAGGTTGCCACCAACCTTGAATTTGTAAAAAGTACAGTATCTGTGAACTGCAATAAAGCAGTTTGTTTCTCCTCCCCTTCCAGGCACTAGTTACATTTTAACAGGCTTTCTGGAAAGGCCTTATCAAGATGTGGGGATTGGCTCTTTCTGTGGGCTTGATCTTGCAGGGCCACCACCCCTGCTCTTAGATTCTCTGATTCAATGGTTGGAGTCCTGGGCCTGAAACCCGTGTTTTGAACAAGTGGAAACACTGCCTTAAGGAAAGTCCTAGAGAAGGCGAGGAGCAGGCGGCCAGGCCGCCCCCTCTTCCTTTCTCCTGGGGCAGACGGAGAGACGCCGGGAGACTCTCGGCTCTGGGCCTCTGGGTGGGCAGGCACAGCAGCGTCTCGCTCCCCACCGAGGCCTTGTTTCCAGCCCAGGCCCAGTTCCCAGAGGCACGGTCTCCAGAAGCCACTGTTGGCCGCACACACCTGCCCCACCCCCTCACCTCCGGCTGGTCTGCGCTCCCAGCTTCCTGCAGCTGCCCCTGCGTGAGCCGCCCGGGTCCAGAACGCCCTTTCCCTTTCGTGGTGCAGCTTCAGGGTTACCTCTTCAGGGACGTTACCTTTTCTAATCATTGGCTACTCCAGCATCCAGAGATGCCCAGGAAGTGCTGAGTGAACCAAAGCCATTCCAGGGGCCATTCTGGACACTGAGCAGCACCACCCAAAGGTGTCCCTCGGGGCGAGAGCCTGGGTTCTGCCTCCGACGTTCCAGATGTTCCGGGCCCAAGAGTGTCTTGTCTCCCCAGTGGGAATGGTGGGGACACCCATGGGAGGAACGAACGTAGAGTGTGCTGCTCCTGTGGGAGCTGGGACTAAGGGAGGCCTCAGCGACCTGGCCCCAGCGAAGTGCAGAAGACAGACTGCCCCAGGCCAGGAACCCGGCCATCCCCCCATGGGTGAGGAGGAGCCATTTGGAACCTGCTCCCGCTGCAGGGACAGGCATCCCCAGGAAAGAAAAGCACAGGAGAAACAGGTTTTACAGATTTATTTTTAAAAAACAAAAACAAAAGGTTAAAAAAAGTCCTTCATTTCCAACCCTGCCTGGGGTGTGAGCGGGGAATAGAACAAGCTGAGGAAGGCGGCCACCCTCCCCGGGGGGCGAGGCCCACTCTCCCCCGGGGAGCCTACAGAGGACCGGAGGACGGGCAGGGCAAGTCAGAGGCAGGCCCTCGCCCTTCCTGCCCCGCCTCCTCGGCAGGTAGCTCTAATTGCTGCTAACGAGTTCCAGAGGCCAACTGTAGGAGCGGGGGGCCAAAGCTGCCTTCTTCAGGTCGGTGGGCGCTCTGGCTCGTCTCTCCCCTCAGAGGTTCTCTGGGCCTCACCACTGGGGCTCCCAGGGCGGGCGGGCAGGAGGCTTAGCCTGAACCAGCCCCCACACCGGCAGCTTCCTTAATGTTGTTTGTGACACAGCAGGGCAGTCAGGGGGACTTCACAGTGTGGGGAAGGGGCTTCGGAGACATCGTGACCAGTCTGGAAAGGAACAGCTAACCTTCGTCGCTCTCCGATCTCGCCTCTCTGCACTGGGGCGGCCCTTCTTTTCTATTCCCCGTCCGGAGGCCGAGTGGAGTCCAGGACAAAGCACTAAGTGGCTGCTACAAAACACCTGGAGATGCCAGAGGGCGGCTCT